TCCGGACCGCTGCATGTCTTTCCGGACCGTAATGTCTACAATTAGAGTACGTTTTGGTTGCTTGCTTTTCCGGACCGCTGCAAGTCTTTCCGGACCACAATGGCTACAATTAGAGTACGTTTTGGGTGCTTGCTTTTCCGGACCGCTGCATGTCTTTCCGGACCACAATGGCTACAATTAGAGTACGTTTTGGGTGCTTGCTTTTCCGGACCGCTGCACGTCTTTCCGGACCGCAATATCTACAATTAGAGTACTTTTTTGGGTGCTTGCTTTTCCGGACCGCTACAGGTCTTTCCGGACCACAATGACTACAATTAGAGTACTTTTTGGGTGCTTGCTTTTCCGGACCGCTGCAGGTCTTTCCGGACCGCGATATCTACAATTAGAGTACGTTTTGGGTGCTTGCTTTTCCGGACAGCTGCATGTCTTTCCGGGCCGCGATGTCTACAATTAGAGTACTTTTTGAGTGCTTGCTTTTCCGGACCGCTGCTCATCTTTCCGGACCGCAATGTCTACAATTAGAGTGCGATTTGGGTGCTCGCTTTTCCGGACCGCTGCATGCCTTTCCGGACCGCAATCGCTACGATTAGAGTACGTTTTGGGTGCTTGCTTTTCCGGACCGTTGCACGTCTTTCCGGACCGCATGTGTTTCAAGTACAATCTGTTTTGAGTCCCTTCTTTTGGATGTCTTAAGAACTAGGTAGCCCCATAACCGGCCCCAAAAGAGGTCTGAAACCAGTTCGACACATCTTCCTGCTCACCGTCTCAAGACTTCTTCTTTCTCTCTGTCTCTTTCTCCCTTCTCTTCTTTCTTTTCCCGTTCTTTCCTGTTTTTCTCCAAAGCTGAGGTAGCCTACGGACAAAAAGAGGTCTGAAACCACTCTGAAACACCCCGCTGCTCACCATTTACAACGCTCTCTCTCTCCTCTCCCTCTTCCTCTCTCTGTCTCTCTCTCTCTCTCTCTCTCTCTCGCCTTCTGTTTGTCTCCATCTTCCATCTTCCTCTCTCCCCCTCTCTCTCTCTCTATCTCTCTCTCTCTCTTTCCCTCTTCCTCTCTCTGTCTCTCTCTCTCTCTCTTTCTCTACCTTTTCTCTTTCTTTTTTCATCTCCCAAAGCTGGGGGTACCCAAAAAACAAGCCCAAAAGAGGTCTGAAACCACTCTGAAACACCTTCCTGCTCACCATCTCCGGACTGCTGCTGCATGGCGTTGGCTGCTTTATCTCTATCTATCTATCTATCTGTCTATCTATCTATCTATCTATCTATCTATCTATCTATCAGAATTTATTTCCTTGTATGTTGTGTTCAAGTCTTTTCTGTCTGTAAATTGTTCTTGTCATCAAGGTCAGCTAGACCCCCCGAAGGGGTCTGAAACCACTCTGAAACCGCTCTGAAACCACAGAAGTTCAACACGCGCAGAGCTACTTCCCAGTACTACTTCCCAGTACTACTGTGTACTACAAAGCTTGCACAAACCACTTCCCAGTACTACTGTGTACTACAAAGCTTGCACAAAGCACTTCCCAGTACTACTGTGTACTACAAAGCTTGCACAAACTACTTCCCAGTACTACTGTGTACTACAAAGCTTGCACAAAGCCGTTCCCAGTACTACTGTGTACTACAAAGCTTGCACAAAGCACTTCCCAGTACTACTGTGTACTACAAAGCTTGCACAAAGCACTTCCCAGTACTACTTTGTACTACAAAGCTTGCACAAACTACTTCCCAGTACTACTGTGTACTACAAAGCTTGCACAAACTACTTCGCAGTACTACTTTGCACTACAAAGCTTGCACAAGCTACTTCCCAGTACTACTTTGTACTGCATGGCTTGCACAAACTACTTCCCAGTACTACTGTGTACTACAAAGCTTGCACAAACTACTTCCCAGTACGAAATACTAAGTGAATACTAAATATTTAACATTCGAAAACAAGTACGAGAATAATGATGAAAAACAACTGAAATGATGAATGTGATCCGGGAGTGTGGTCGCGCAAGAAACGCGCAAGGTTGGCGCAAGCTCGGCCCAAGAGGCCTTTGTGGGAACAGTAATTTAGGACAACCCCCATATATATATATATAATATACACATATATTGTCAATATATGGGTGCAAGTCAAATTATAAGGTCCGGAACAAGGTCCGGGACCACCCCCGTTCCATACCCCCGTTCCATACCCCCGTTCCATACCCCCGTTCCATACCCCCGTTCCATACCCCCGTTCCATACCTGTTTGAAGGATCCGTTCCATACCTCTGTTCCATACCTCTGATCCATACGTTATAATACATATATATATATACACATAGTCATATATATATACATAGTCATATATATATATATACACATGTTATGTAAATAATATGATGTACTCATATAATTATCATTAGTGAAATATGTTAATTTGATAGGTCAGAAAGCCATCCGCATGGTATATATTGTTCACGTTCCCGGTCCCAGACTGTCCAATTTCTTGTGATGTCAGACCGGGTCTATGGCTTGCACACTGTGTCCCTTGGGCGAGCATCTTGCCTTGCCCAAGCTGAGAAAAGATTCCGGTGGTACCCCATGTGCAGGTGCAAAAGGGTCACTCCCTTGCTTAAATAGTGGGAAACAACAGTCAATAGCACTAAAAACAGTTGAATAGCGCTGTAACCAACTTAATGGCTCTCAAACTGCCTTTCAAACAATTCCAGTGGCACTGAATAGCTCTCAAGCCTCAGCCCAAAACCCCTCAAGATGTTACTTTTCGGAAGGGTCCTGCAGAGCAGTAGCATTAGATGTTGCTTAGTGGTTTCACCAGAGATGACACCTGATCGAGTCAGGATGAGTCAGGATGAACATCCATTTTCCCTCGGCCGCCATCCCCGCCACTCACCGCGAGGGATCCGGTTTTTCGCCGAGGTATGCGAATGATACTGGAATGCCTCTTGTTTGTGCGAGTCGATGGTGCAAATATTTCTTAGTTGTGTTGAATTCCTTTTCTGTCCCTGCAATTGGAATGATAAACGTATTTTGGTGCAAACAGTCTGGGATAGGCAGTTATGTGGCTGGGCATCAGACATGTGAATTCAACTTGTTTTTGCAAACAAATTATGACATCAAACAGGTACAGCATGTTTGTTTGATTTCATCCTTGTACTACGGTGAGTATTTGAGAAATGAGCAGTGTGAAGAATTTGGGTAATTTTGTCTTTTCGCCTCTACCCTTTCATGGCCTTTGAATGTTTATCCGTTGGGCTTGGAAAGCTGTCCAGAAAGCTTTCTGATCTTGATCCATTCTTGGCAAGTCCACAACTCATCTTGCTCAGCCATTCAGAATATGTAGCTGGATGGACATCCAACTCAACGACCGTGGGTGGCTCAGGACCGAGTGCTTTATTTGCGGTGCCGGGACAGGGCAAGAAGAGAAGTGGACCACCAGCCAAGCCGTGGTTGCGCAGGGAAAGGACAGTTTTTCGGATGAAACAGCACGGTGGGTTTAAGGCATCGTGTTTTTTAAAACAATTGGGTATGTCTGAAAATGGGGGATACCCCCAATTATAGCCATTTAGTAGGGATAATGATCATTAACCATTGGGTTTAGGGGTACACTATTTTCAGACACACCCAATTGTTGAATATTGTTGAGGGGGTTTCCATACAAAAACCACCGTTCGATTTTAATTTGGGTTCTCTTTTTCCTATCTTTTTCAGGGGGCGCTGAAATTTTGTGCAAGCAAATTTCAAATATGCATTCCTGCATCTTTACGTGGATCTGCATGGGGTATTGGTCCAAATTGTTGGTTTCACTTCATGCCCAAGATTGTTGGTTCGATACCCCTTGTTTCATGGCTTTCATGCCCATTTTTACTTCGGGCATGGGTGTTCTCCATTTGCGTAAGAGGTTTCAACGCATCATATGAAGCAGGTGCTTTGCTTCGGAAGGGCTCTATACCGATGGAGTTTTTGGATACAACTGTTCTTTTTTCCTATTTATACACCGACTTGTATTTTATGGTAATTGTGATACGGCCAGGGTTATTTTCTTTTCTAAACACTGGATGCAGTGTGATACTTGTAGGTTGACATGGAACTTTTGAGGGCTGAAAACATCTGACCCGATTTCGGTTGATTCCATTTGTGAGGAGACGTGGCTTCAGGTTCAGGGTTCTGTGAACCAATCCTACTGCGGATGCATTGCAGGCAGCGTGCGAGCGCGGCATTGGTGGTCTCAGATCAAGGGGTGAAGATGAGAATGGGAAATTGAAATGATAGGAAGTGAGGCTAAAGTTGGAGTGGCTATGAGACATTACAATACTATGCCATCTTTGAAGGGAATGGCACACAATTGCTCTTTGAGGCAAGTGGGTGTTCATAGGGCTGGACGATGGCAGGGGGTACTTTTACTCTGGTACCATTTGATCAGAGCAGATGACATCCATGACATGACATTTACCTCCCATTTTCGGATTAGACAAGTGCTAGATTGTGCGTCATACCCTGCTATGGAACTATGCCACACCCACCCCTGCACCTCCACTGTCCAATTTGATGAATTTCTCCGCACCATCCAGGCACATATCTATGGAATGGTCGTTGTGAAGAGTGTATTCAAGGGTCCATTTGTGAAGGCTCCAGCCACTTGACTTTTCCGCCACTAGATTGGGGGGAGCAGAATTAGGGGATGACCTTCCCGTACTGGTGGATGCAGTGTAAATCAAGGGTTGCATGGGTTGGATTTAGCCATAAACGGAGGAATGTAATTTTCCACTAGAGATCAGTGTTTTGAAAAAGTATGCAAGGGCAGCCATGATTGGTCTAGGGGCTCGAATGATCAAGAATCAGATGAAGAAGCTACTACGATCATCACAGACTGTGGACTGGTACTGTAATGCCAACTGATTGTAACACTTGCGAACCTGGAGGTTGCTGGGACTAATAATATATAGATAGATATAGGTTTATTCTGCATTGATTAATGATTGGAGTCCATGCCTACCTAAAGATCCAACCAACAGCCTCTGAGAATGGTCATTGTGATTTTTATCTACGTTAAGGTTTGCACAAAAGGATTTCAATTTGAAAGACACACTTGACCAAAAGCAAGATACCAAAACAATGCAACACCATCTGACTCCATCTGAGTTCGAGGAACCCCTCATGTATCATCATAATTTTGTTGGGACCCCAGCCCCGTAGATGGTTTGCGTCATGTCCAGCGTCTTTAGCTTCGTCAAAGTCGAGGTAAATTGTTGCTGGAGCCAGGGTTCTTCTCCAGACCAGAGGTGGATTGCGTCGAGGGTCGATCTTTGGTTGGCCGGGTTGGCGAAGAGGGTGATTGTGTCGCTTGCCATATGTTTGCTGGATTGCGTATGTTTTATCAGTTTTATCTTCACTATCATATACTATCATGAATATCCACCTGAAGAACGGTCTTGCTTTGTGTCATTTCAAGGATGCAGTGAAGGTTGGGCATGTGAGTAAATCACCCTATTAAGGAGGATATGACACACCAGACCCCATGTTCCATGCCGACCCATGATGTTTCTAAAGAGCTTCTTGGTAAATCAGCTGCATTGATGCATGATTCATATTTGGCGAAATTGGTATCGGTATAAGTCCCGCAATTATCTAAGAAAATTATAATCTACAATTGATGTTTCTTTGGATAGCAGAACCCCGACAGTTACTTGGTACATGATTTTAACACCAGATCTCCTCTCGATGTTCATCAGGTTTGTCATCACAGTTGACATCGCTTGCTTTGATTTCTCACTGCCCAACTTCTGTTGGTTGTAAATTTTGTTTTGCATTGTTTTGCCACTTGCATCATACTATGGTTGCCAATATCCCTCTTGTTTTCTATCTCTTTCCTGGCTGCATCCTTTGCCATGGCAGGAGCCTGGAGCTGTGTACCGCTGCTTTGAAGAACCCGTTCGCTGCCCCGGTGGTGAGCCGGGCACCTGCGCCGTTGGTCGTGACCACCGGGAAGGGAACGCTGTGGCAGATGACCTAAGACCAAGGGTGACAACGTTTGGCCGTGGGGTCCTCTTCCAACAAAAGATGCGACCTGCTAAACAAGGGACTGCGACGAGAATCTCTTTTGAAAAGGGAGCCTATAGGAGTTTTGGGGATGCTGATCAAGATGTGAGTATTGTATCGAACATATTCTAGCATGAAGATGCGTCAAACCATCTCTTGGAACCGCACGCTAATTGACCATAAACTTGAGGCAGTGCTGATTGCTGCAAGCAAGGACATCCCAAGGAAGATTTTTTTCTTGATGTGATAAGTGTGATAACTGCTTGCAGCTGGGTAAACCTGTGTTTGGTCGGTTCAATTTTCGGCCATCAAGTGGATACACAACTGAAGGAAGGTCATGTATACAAATGTATCATCAATGATCAACAAGTATCAACAATTGTGAAGATATGATATCATATCCCACCCAAAAACAGCAACTTTTCTCGAAGGGGTCTCTAATTCCATTGATGGGCTGGCAGGACACCAGCGCAGTTGCCTGTAGTGCATGTCTTCCGGGCCTACATGCTACGGACTGGGGCTGGGGGTGGACTGCGTGTCCAGGAACAGGTCGTCCCACTCAACTAGCTTCTGACGATCTTTAGGACCTTGGGAATTAGCGGGTTATCTGGGTTTGCTCATTGTGAGAAGCACACTATCTGGATTATCTAATGTTTGCGGTTAGATATGATATTCCGTCCCCAAATTTGTTGATAATGCCACCAGTTCCATGCATATCCCCAACTCTGTCGGTAGAGACACTCCAAATTTGGCTTGACGAGGATGGCATTTGTGTGGAATGTGGTGGAGGGGACTATGCATTGCTGATCACGGTTGGCATCATCGCATGTGTGTGTATTGCAATATTGTATTTAGCTTCTGAGCTGAATGTGGCGTCCAAAATTTAGGTTCGCAGGATGTTTTGCCACGGTTTACTGCTTCCAGGGCAACCAGTGCTTGGATGTTTAGATGATTTTGGGGTTACATGTTGTGGCTTGGGATTTAATATACTGTATTTTATAGGGAAACTGTAGGCAGCAGTGATGCCCCGGTGGCGGAATTGATTATGGGAGAGATTGATCATTCCCGGCCAAGTTGTCGGTTCCGGTGATAAATAGGCTAATCTTCAGTTTTCCTGAGGAATATCATATGGCATATTATGGCATTATTTCCCACTCAAAGTCGACTTCTTTCACGTACATCTAGCGTTACGCAAAAAGTTATATAGCCATTTATTTTTCTTTTTGTCCAACCTCCAAGTATCTTATTGTTTCCAAACAGATCCAAACAGCACCTTTTTGATCTCTTTTGATCCTTTTTGGCCTTTTGGGAACATGATCAAGTTCATTCAAGTTCCACATCTCTAGATTCTTCCAGCCTTCCACAGCCGAGGTTTTGGTGAACGAGGGTCAGAAGAGTCGCCAGCCAGGCGCCGTGTCCCAGCAGTGGCCCCATTGGTCCCACCGTGTGGCTTCGTCTGAGGCAGCCTTCTGATAGCTGCCCTGGGCATGGGCCAGATGGTGACCACCGTTCAGTCACTGGGTCGAAAGGAAATGGAGGATGGAAGTTTCTCAACCTTGGCTGAAGAACAAGATCCAGATATCCTAATAGATCGATACCAGTATCATATAAGAACAAACGTATACAAACACGGAGGTAAAACTGACCATTTGTATGTTACCAGTAGTACCGCACAAGGCGGTGGCGGAAGTTTCAGCATAGGAAACCTATAGGAGAGGTGAGTTGTTGTGATGCATGGATGACAGAGCGAATCCACTCATGGACCGAAAGTTGGTTGGAGTATGTTGGAGTTGGAGTTGTTTTTTTTGGAGTGGTTGCAATGGTTGCAGTGGTCACCTCACCTACAACTCCTGGATGTAATGTGGTGTCAGTGCAATTGTAGTTGTAGTGTAGTGTAGTGGAGTTGTAGCTGCAGTGTAATGTATTTAGTGTAGTGTAGTTGCAGTTTTGTTGTGATGTGGTGTAATTAGCGTAGTGTAATGTAGTGTAGTGTTCTGTAATTGTAGTTGTAGTTGTAGTGTAGTTGTGGTGTGGTGTAATTAGTGTAGTGTAGCGTAGTGTACTGTAGTGTTGTGTACTGTAGTGTGGTATAGCCTAGTGTAGTCTAGTGTAGTGTAGTGTAAAGTAGTGTAGTTGTAGCTGTAGTGCAGTGTAATTAGTGTAGTGTAGTGTAGTGCAATGTAGTGGTAGTGGTAGTTGCAGTTGCAGTGGTAGTTGTGCTGTAATGTAATGTAATTAGTGTAGAGTAGTGTTGTGCAATGTACATAGTGTAGTAGTTCTAGCTGTAGTGTGATGCAGAGTAATTAGTGTAGCATAGTGTGATGTAGTGTAGTTGTTTCTGTAGTTGTAGCTGTGGTAGTAGTAGTTGCTGTTGTAGTTGTAGTGGAATTAGTGCAGTGTAGCGTAATTAGATGTAATTAGTGTAGTGTAGTGTGATTAGCGTTGTGTAATGTAGCGTAGTATAATTGCATTTAAATTTGTAGCTGTAGTAGTAGTGTAGTGCAATAGTGGTAGTTGTAGTTGCACTTGTAGTTGTCTATTTTTATCTATCTATCTGTCTATCTGCAAGCTTGAAAACGAAGCTATTCTGCGACACTCCCTCCATGCATGAACTTGACAACATCTGCGAGACTTCCTCAATTTTTGAAGTTGGCAACATCAAAAAGGAACCGATTCTGCGAGACTTCCTCAATGTTTATAGTTGGAAACATCAAAAACAAAGCAGTTCTGCAAGATTTCCTTCAAAAAGGGAAAATTGAGTGCAGAGCTGACGGCCTCGTGCCAATGCGTTTTGCGATTTTTCCACTCCACCTGTCTAAAGTACTGCGCCTGGCACGAATAAGTGATGCCAGGTCATACGAAGTGCTGCACCTGCCCCGCAAAATCATCTTGGCAAACTTGAAGATCTGATGCTCCAAAATGCAACCCCTCTCAGGAAATCAGCACCCTGACCTCCTATGTCTCTTGTACTGCGCGTGCCACGCGAAACTGCGAATTCCCCACGCTTGCCATCGTTTTTGAAACTGCCACAAAACCCTCAGGTTTTTCTCACTTTCGACCAGGTGCACAATCCCCTGCGCCTGCCATGCGAAACGAAATCTGAACGTCCAAAAGTGCTCCGAAACTGTCATTTTTTATTCTTTTGACCTGGAAATGTGCTTCGCGCCACAACGGCGTGCACTTTTTCGACATGTCAACTTCCATGGTGTGCTTTGTACATTTTGACTTCCAAATGTGCTTCGCGCCACAACGGCGTGCAACTGTTCATCTCTCATCTGGCCAGGTGGCTCCGCACCCGCCGCTTTAGCGAGCCTACTTTTCGACCCTCCGAAACCCCAAATCATTGGAAAAACACAGTGTTTCGCGACTTTCCTACCTTTTCGCGCATCTGCATCTTCTTTCTTCTGTTTTTTCCTCCTCTCTGATCGTCTCTCTTCTGCTCTTCTCTTCTCTGACTCATCCCACCTCTGCTTTTTCATCTTTCCAGATTGTCCGAAGTTTGACTTCTAAACTTTCTTCGATTAGCCTTGGAGCATGCCCGTATGGCATCGATGGTTCAAAGTGGGTGCTGTACTGAATTGCTGATGCTAACCGCTCTATAGGATAAAGCATTTGCAGAAGGAATTTGTTGAAAGGAAACCTGTTGTTCCAAACGGTCTCCACGTTTCTTTCTTCTCATGCCTATGACCTGAAGAAGATCCAACTGTCACAAAATTGATTGACCAGTGTCTAGTGTTCAATCCTTCAAAAATCTTCGAAATCTCCAGCAGGGCCTGAACCTGAACCATTCAGCCATTCCGTGTCAGGCAGCTCACAGTCATTCAGCAGTTCAAAATCGAGTGGGGTGAACCTTTCGCCGGGATTTTGCTGTCATTGGAGGTGGGGTGTGCGATGCTAACCTGGACCCATTGACATGCTCATATCATGAATCCCCTTTTCCATACCAGAAGCAACCCCTTCAGTTGATGTTTTACCTTGCCTGGTATCACACCAGCACTGGGATCATCATGCTCCGTAGATCAGATACAAAACATGGGATATTTTAGAAATAGGCTAGGGTACTACCTTTTCTCGTTTCACAAGTTCCCAGCACCTGTCGTCTTCTCCTTTGAATACCCGCGGATCCGCCTGTTAGCCCCAGCTGAACTTGTTCTTTTTGCGAGTTAAAACTTAAAACTGTATTTTTGATTATTTTTGTTGATTTTTGGCAGAAATTGGTTCACCCCTTTTTTGTTGCTGAATCCCCCAATTTTTTTTGGTGAATCACCACTAGGTCTTTTCCTTTGATTTGGACATGATCTCCATCGGTTGCGTGGCGCCCATGGGCCCAGTTGCCAAGTTTAGCTCCAGTGTCTCGGCTTTCGTTGCCGCTTTCCACTGAGGGAGATGATCACACCCCAATATGGCCCAACTCATGAAACCAGCCCGAGGGTTGAAGGTAGAAGACCCAAACCTTGCGATAGCTACCCGTTATTTTCATCTAAAAGACAAGTCCAAACCCTGCCCAGGAACTCTCACAGTGGTGGGGCTCCTCTTGGTGGCCAGTCTAGTGCATCTGCTGTACCTGGCGGTGACCAAATCCAAGACCTTGCAGATTAGCTTATTACTGAGGACCGCTTTTCCCTGGCCGGCCCCATGGGATGGCTGGTGGTTTCAATGTGTTTCGATTGTTAAACCAATGGAGGTTTCCTAAAATGGGGGGTACCCCAAAACCGTGGGTCTAATTTTGGATGATTTGGGTTACCCCTATTTTAGGGACCCGCCAGATCCACCAAGATTTGACTAATATGGTCCCCAATTGACTAGAAGATGTTTAAATGGCATGGTACTGAAAAACAATTGCTTTAGTTCGAGTGATCCCATCCATGGCATTTCAAGGCATCTATTCTGACATATATTCTGACATTTTACCCAACATTCTATCTGACATCTATTCTGACATTCTATCTGCCATTCTATCTGGCATCTATTCTGGCATTCTATCTGGCATCTATTTGTGGCATTCTATCTGACATCTATTCTGGCATTCTATCTGCAATTCTTTCTGGCATTCTATCTGGCATCTATTTTGGCATTCTATCAGACATCTTTTCTGGCATTCTATCTGACATCATCTATTCTGGTATTCTATCTGGCACACCTCAACTGTGGGGAACACTACGATCTAGCACTTGCAGAGGTCCGGCGGGGAAAACTCTAATCCTGAGCTTGCTGTTCGGGTCCGGCGGGGAACACTGCGATCTAGCGCTTGCAGTTGAGGTCCGGCGGAGGAGGAGGAGGAGAAGGAGGCGGCGGGACAGCTTACATAAAATTTAACAACCCTCACATGACAGGTGGGGAACATAAAATGAACTATTGTATAGCAATTTATAACTATTGAAACAGATCCTGGTAGGCGACACAAAGTTGACCCCTCAGTCAGGACCTCGGGCACGCTTTTGTTGGTGTTCTTCATCTCGTTGTGCTCCTCACTGTTGGCACCCTTTCGGTGCAGCCAACATCCCAATGGTCGTTGGACCGTGCAGGCCTACCATGGAGTGCAACATGGCCCCAACTGGACCTGCAAAACAGTGGTGGTTTGCAGAGGAATCCCGAAGTTTCTCTCAGAGATGGAAGCTTGAGACACAAGTATCATTGACCATTTGGTGCTTGCATGGGCACCCTGCAGAATCCTTGCCTTAAAATCTCAGTGATGATGCGAGACAGCAAGATCTTTCAGATTGAGGCCATGGAAGAGCCAACCATCGATCATCACTCCATAGAGATCCTGTATCTTACATGTTCCTTATGTTCCTATACCGTACGGAAAAAACTACTGCGGGCGATGTGGGAAGATGGCCATTGACTCCTGACGAAGCATTGATTGGAAATATCTCCTTCCTAATACTATCCGATTCTCACTGACATGGCCTGGTCACGATATTGGTTACCTTTTTGAGCCAAGAAGAGTAAAAGGACAAAGAACAACATGAGCATATTATATATATATATTATTAATATTTCATTACAATATTCCTCCCTGGCTGCTAGCACAATTGTGTCATGAAAATGATAGCCAGTCACATCCAGTCGCCTTTCCTACTAGTGGCAGATCACCAGAAATGTGTCAGGTGCAGCCCACTTAGCTGTAGCTCAACACTACATCCTTAACAAAGAATCCCGAAAAAAGTGTAGTAGTTCCCATCCCAACTTGAAGCATGCTGCTGATTTCATTGATGTATGGAGGGAATCTGCGGCTGAACCCCCACGGTTAGCCTCTACAGGTATTGCAATGGAGAAGGGGACCACCAAGTTATGGCGATTGTGGGTGGAGCCTTGGCCGTGATGCAGCACAAGAATGGATATAGCAATGGGATTAATGGGATATGATCTACTGGATATAAGATGATACGAATGTGCTATTATGTTAAATCGGATATATATATATATTTATATATGGATATATAATTATATATATATACACTGTATATAGGTTACACACAGTGAGTGTATATAATATATTCATATCACTAGCCATGTAAGATGGCTTTGTCCGAAAATGGGGGGATATGGCAGGATGGGCTGTCAAGTTATGGCAAGTTTTTCATGGGGAAAATTTCGATCAACCATGGAATTTAGGGATATGGATATATTTTTTTTTGACCTAAGAACCCCCAAGATGTCCGAGCTGGACGATGAAGATCTGCTCCGGTACTGAATTTGTCATTTTTTCATCATAACTTGCTGGTTGGTGGTTTCAATATGTTTCAATAACATAGAGGTAAAACACAAACAACTGCAATTGGATAAATCCACTACTGCAACGGTCGGGTAGTGGTGGTAGTAGTAGTAGTAGTAGTAGTAGTGGTGCATAATTTGGCTATTTAGGGTGATTCCAGGTGAGCTGGAACCGCCAAGTAGCTGAAACACATCAGGATTGGCCTGTTTGATGCCGATGGGTTTTGTGGCGATTTGCATGTGGGTCACTTGGCGGTGGAAAATGGAGGGGCAAGGATTCAAGGATCGGATCGGCGTTGTTTGACATAGTGACATAGGTACCCGAATCGGCTCGAATATAGTCTGATACGTGATGTGATCGAAGAGACTGGATTTGTTTGAAGAGGATCAGGAGCTATGAGTACTTTATTCAGCACGATTCCCTGGGTAGATGAGACAGCGTTGGTAGATGCAATTCCTTCAGGGTATGCACAAGCGCAGCTGTAGTTTGGAAGAGTCGAAAGCTGGGATAGAACCCAGTCAACTTCAACAACATGCTACAGCTACCTGCATCCTCAAGCATGAACTATGTGTGATTGAAGAGTCTTGTGAGGAGCAGCCATGCAGTGCCTTTGAGAAATACCGTCATGGGCAGACCAAGTATGGTACAAGCACTCACTGGGGCACCAGTTGGATCCCTAAAAATGTTGTTCGGGGAATTTGGAGGGATCTGAACCCGGCAAGCTCCCCTTTGTGCAAATTTGTAGATCTTTAGACGGTTGTGCCTTTGTAGCGCTGCACATGAGGCAAATGAGTGTACTGAAGTAGGTGGTAGAGACGGCAACCAGGTTGTGGTCTGACAGTTCATTTAATCTTCAGTCTGTGTTGCGATGCCAAGGTCATCATCATTGAACTCCCAAAGAGGCACCGCATACGTCTGAGTGCATAGACAGTGCACACCTCGTCAGTCAGTGACCAAACGCTCGTGCACACTTGTTTGAAGATATTTTCCTGGTAATTTGATGGTTCAACTGGCACGATGCAGACTTCGGATCCATTCAGCCCAGGGTGGGGATTTCCCAGACCCTTTGTATGGACACCCTACATGGAAGGGCAGGGTACTGTTTCAGCCGTCGTCAGGCTTCAATCGGCAGACGTGAAGTTCTTGCGAGGCTGCTCCTTTCTCTTCATGCGCTTCCGTCCCGGGGCTGAGTGCCCTGGATGGATGTAGCCATGTGTTATCATGTGTTCAACCCCCAAACACTTGGAGGATCTGAATGAAATGGGTTGGATAGGGGTAGGGTTTAAGATGGTTTAAGCATGTTTTTTTTCGAGATACCTGCTTGTTTGTTATTTTTGGGGTTGAGACAGATAGGGGGCTGAGACAGATAGGGTCTCTTGTTGACCACTGACCACATCTCTTTTGAGACAGTCAGGCATCATGGGACCTGATTAGCAGCCACGGCAAAACCTGCGGCAATACCAAAGATGTAAGGAACGGACATAGGTTTCTGGAAACTGTGGAAGCGCGAGGTAATTAAGCGATGGAACCTTTCCAACTAGCGCTGCAGCCATAGAAGGATTTTCCTTCAAGCGATACCCCGCAAGTTTGCCATACGTCGTTTTTCTGCAAACCTGGAGTAAGCGATGGGACCTTTCCAAATTTGTGGATGTCTTTTCCGTGAACCTGAAGTTTCCGAGATTGCTCATTTAGATTCATGGCCAGTTCAGGATCTTCAGTGTGCTGTTTCTGATCCGCAATGCCCTCGTCGTGCTGTGCCCTTTGTTACCCAGCCCCTCTGGCAAGGCATCTTGGTGGATGTGTGGATGGATTTTTGCGGGCCTGGCATGGGCGGCACCATTGATCTTAGGAAATTTGAACAAATGTGTATACAATTGATTTCAATTGAATACATATCATTAAAATTCGTTGTATACCAGTAGTACCGCACAAGGCGGTGGCAGAAGTTTCGAAGATAGCAAACTATAGGAGAGGTGAGTTGTTGTGATGCATGGATGGCAGAGCGAATCCATTGGTGGGCCGAAAGGTGGTTGTGATTTTTGGAGTGCTTGCAGTGGTCACCTCACCCATAACTGCAGGATGTAGTGTGGTGTAGCGAAGCGCAATGTAATTGCAGTTGTAGTTGTAGTGGTAGTAGTATTAGTTGTAGTGTCGTTGTCGTTGCAGTGGTAGTGTAGCTGATGTTGCTGAAGTTGCAATGCTGTAGTTGTAATTGTAGCTGTAGTTGTAGTGTAGTTGAAGTTGTAGTTGTAGTGGTTGTAGGAGATGTAGTAGTAGTTGTAGCTGCAGTTGTGGTGTTGTTGTAGTTGTAGGTATAGGTGCAGTGTAGTGGTAATTGTTGTTGTTGTTGTTGTTGCTGTTGTTGTTGTTGCTGTTGTTGTTGTTGTAGTATTGTAGTGTCGTTGAAATTGTAGTTGTGTTGTAATGTAGCTTACTGGTAGTGGTAGCTGTAGTTGCAGTTGTAGTTGTAGTGTAGTGGTAGTTGTAATGTTGTAGCTGTAGCTGTAGTTGTAGTTGTAGGTGAAGTCTGGTGTAGTGTAGTGTAGTAAGGTAGTAGTTGTAGTGTAGTGGTAGTTGTAGCTGTAGTGTAGTTTCAAGTTGCGGTTGTTTCTGTAGCTGCAGTTGCAGTTGCGGTTGTTGTTGCTGTTGTTGTTGTTGTAGTTGTTGTTGTTATTGTTGTTGGTGTAGTTGTTGCAATTGTGGTTGAAGCGTAGTTGAAGTTGTAGCTGTAGCTGTTGTAGTTGAAGTGTAGTTCAAGTGTAGTTGAAGTTGTAGTGTATTTGAAGTGTAGCTGGAAGTTGAAGTTGTAGTGGTAGTGGTAGTTGTAGTTGTATTGTATTTGTCGTTGCAGTTCGTTGTGCTTGTAGTTTTAGTTGTAGCTGTAGTGTGGTGTAGTTGCAGTTGTGAATCTATCTATCTATCTATCTATCTATCTTTCTATCTATCCATCTATCTATTGATCTATATATCTTTTTTTGATCTATCTATCTATCTATCTATCTGTCGATCTATCTATCTATCTATCTATCTTTCTATCTATCTATCTATCTATCTCTCTCTCTCTATCTATCTATCTATCTACCTATCTATCTATCTATCTTTCTATCTATCTATCTATCTATCTATCTAGTGCTCCGAAACTGGTTTGCTTTGTACATCGTGACTTGGAAATGTGCTTCGCGCCACAACGGCGTGCACTTTTTCAACATCTCAACTTCCAAAAGTGGTCCGAGACCGTCAGTTTTAACACTCTTGACTTCGAAATGTTCCTCTTGCCACAACGGCGTGCACTTTTTTCCGACATCTCAACTTGCAAAAGTGCTCCGATGTTGGTGTTTTTTGCACATTTTGACTTCCAAATGTGCTTCGGGCCATAACGGCGTGCAATTTTTCATCTCTCATCTGGCCAGATGGCTCCGCACCGGCCGCTTTAGCGGAGCCACAAGTCATTGAAAACACAGTGTTTCGCGATTTTCTTACATTTTCGCGCACCTGCATCTTCTTTCTTCTGACTCTTTCTCTTCTCTGATCTTCTCTCTTCTCTCTTCTTCTCTTCTTCTCTTCTCTTCTCTTCTCTTCTCTCCTCTCCTCTCCTCTCCTCTCCTCCTCTCTACCTCTCCTCCTCCTCTCCTCTCCTCTCCTCTCCTCTCCTCTCCTCTTCTCTTCTCTTCTCTTCTCTTCTCTTCTCTGACCCTTCCCACCTCTGCTTTCCCATCTGTCCATATTGTCGGAAGTTTGACTTCTAAACTCTAAACTTCCTTCGATAATTTTATATGCGGTTGCAGGGGCGTGCCAAATCTCAAAGGCTTCATGATGCTCTATGAAATTACTTTAATTTTGCCAAATCCTGGACAGATGCATCGTGTTGACATCCGGGAGTGTCCTTCCATCAACACACATGGAAAGATCATACGGGTATGGGTCAAACTCGGGGTATCAGTGAACCCCACAATAATTATCAGAATGTTTGTACCAAACCATCCAAAAAACTGTGGTTGATGAATTTGGCCTATACTCAATAGGCCCAGTAGGCCAGACAACAGGATCGAAGTGCAGAAATAATCCCCCCTATAGGGTTCACTTTAAGATCTTTAAGCCCAACTTCACCCATGCATACTGTATCAGCTACTCCAAATTTGGGAAATAATTCGTTGGTTGGATAGAGTCTCAGCTATTTTTCTCGAGCTATCATTGGTATCCCACAACAATTATTAAAATAATCTATATAAAATCACTGAACAGTAACTTCTCAAGGGATATCTAAGTAAGTTTGGCCACGACCACGCAAGGTAGTTTGCATGAATTTGATCCTCTACGGCAGTTTGGCCATGGTGGCCTATAGCAAACCCTGGCGCGTTGCAGCGTGCAACTTCTTGGACGTGCCACTAGGCCGATTTTGAAGCCGCTAGGGCTGGGATACTTTGGGTGACTAGTAGAATCTAGTAGATGTTTTGTCATGCACCATCGGTTTCGGGAATCTTCAGGATTCAGGATAGGTCAAAGTGTTCAAGAGTTTTTGGGGCCAACGCATGTCAAAACAATTTGATAAAGGACACACCATGACACACCTGGAGGTATCCGGGTAGGCTGGTTTCGCCCAAGCAATGTGGCCAGAGTCAATGACATCCATACCAGTTTGAATTACCTTGTTTTGCTCCAAGGGTTGCACCAATCCGTCTATCCGTAGAAAATATTCTAATGTTGCCTGAATCTTGAAACAGGTGGAAAGTGTTCAAGTATTTTTAAGTCCAGTCCTTTTCTCCATGTGAATCAGGTTGATGTGAGTCAGTTACAGGTTGATGTGAGTCAGTCAGCCCAGGATGCTCCTCGCGTGCATGCTTGTCATTCTGGATGCTGGCTCTTTATTCATCCGAGAGGATGATGGTCATACCACGATGGTCATCTGTGGCTCGTCTAGAAGACCACCCATGGGGTAGTATAATAACCCCGTGCATTGCATTTTAGCTTGGCTTGCACTTTAACACTGCCAATACGTTGCCGGCCCAGAAAACGATAAGACGAAAAAAAAACGATGACGATGCTTACATATATATATATATTATTTATAATATATAATAATATATATACATACATGATATGAGGTACGGTCAAAATTCGATCTGGTATATTACTTATGTAAGGAGAGTTCTCGGGTGTCAGGAACTTGCACAAAAAACTATGTAGCGATAGGTTCCCCCCAAAAGCGATGCCTGCAATTGAGAATAAACGTTGGCAGCTCCATGGGATTGGACCAACTTGCTGAGTCTCATGTGTTTTGTTGCCCGCAATCGTTTGCATGGACTACGAAAATGAGAACGTGCAGAGGGGACCAAAACGATAACGAAACGATAACGAAAACGATAAGGAATTGTAGCAAAAAACATGCCGTGTGAGCAACTACCCATTTGACAGGTTTCACGAGGCTTGTTGAAAACAGAAATGTGTGGCATGGTAGTCTTGTTTAGCTTTTCCTCTTTACCGGCTTTGCCTCACCTTGGCTTCTGCCATGTCTTTACCACCCAAGACTGTCTATGCCTTGCTGCAGCAAGTTTTGAAAGATCCTGAAATCGGACCTGGTGCAATTTCAGAAGCAAAAAAGCAATGTCCCGGACTCCTTGCCCTAATCTCACAGACCAAAAAAAAAGTTGCAGAAAGCTAGTCAAGTGCTGAGATGCTTCACGATTATGATCCATGTCGAAGATTGCACACAGGACAATATGTTTTGATCTTCCACGAACAATTCTTTCACACCCATGGAAGCCTGGTAAATTCACACTTCTTGTCTACATGGAGCTCACCACCTGAGAAAACGATAAGAGGAAAAAACAACGATAACGTGATTTTGGGTAATTTAAAAAGATACGGGGTTTTTATACAACCCCCCATGGGCATAGATCAGCCTAGATCATCTAGATCTGTCAATCCTGGCTATCATCCCCAAGAAATGGGTCTTGTATAGGTCTTGTAATTTCTTGTATATATTTGAAGCGGACACTGTCCGTGGCCCGGGGGTTCCTGGATTCTGGATACAAAGTTTCCAAATGGATATTGTCACCTCACCACGACATCGCCATAGAGCATGGGCCGGAGAAGCATCCAAAATTAATATTTTTTGGTGAATCATGATTCAGCATGATGAAGGGCCAAATACTTTATGTTTGAATATGTTCGATACTGTTACGGTTCTTGATCTCTGGTAGATATCAGACAAGACTGGACAGTTTCAACTGACACACAAACACACACATGCCTATCTCTGTTGCAAGGGACTCTCGAAAGGCGGCTTCACAGAACTGTATCTGTCAATATCTGTCAAATGTCTATTTTCCCATTACCCCTCCAGCTCAAGGGTGCCAATCTACCTCACAATTTTCTCAGCCGGCACGGGGGATTTGAGCTAGCACGTTGCCGTTTCAGCAGCAAGTCCGCACATCACTACTGTCTCGGAAAGCAGTTGCTCAGCAACACGTTACGAATTTTGAGCCGGTAACATGTTTTGAGGGAGCACGAAAACAAGGAGGAATGTGCTCAAATCATCTCAAATCTAGCTCCTGGTTGTTTTCAGTTTCCATCTGACAGCATTCTGAGCAAGCTTGTTCCCTTGAAGTTCAACGGTTGACTGCCAAATGATGAAGTTGTGTAGTACATTGTAGCACTAAAATAATACCTTAGCCTTAAACATCCTGAAACACATGTATCGGAAAGTCATAGGTCTTCAATCTCCTGCTATGTTTTCCCCATGAAGTTGATTGAAGATCCCCAGGATGACAGGCCAGAGATCTTGACAGGCTGCCAGGATGATCATCTACGTTTTCAACAGCATAAGGAGCTTTTTTCCGGAGCTTATGCAGCCCCCTTTTCAACCATGGAAAGTGGACATTTGCTGCCCAAAAGGTTCCTCCAGTTACAGTACTGATAGTACTGTATGCTTCGCAGGGCGGTCCTTGCCCACTGGTTGATCAATCCCCATGAATTTTGTTGAGTCGTCCCAAGTCTTGGTGTTGAAATCCAGGGATATGGGTATTCAAATCCCAGTGTTTTTGGTGGTGAAATCGCAAGTCGCCAGTTTACCCTCTGGTAATTTAACATAGCTATTGAAAATCACCATTTATAGTGAATTTTCCCATGAAAAATGGTGATTTTCCATAGTTATGTTAAATTACCAGGGGGTAATTGTCAAGTCCCATGTTACATCACCATGTTTTTCACATTTAAAATCACATTTTGTGGGACATTTTATCATGGGTAAATATAGGTAAATTACATGTGTTTGGCTAGATTTGATCCCCATGTTTGGTTTGGACATCCAGTTGCTTCCCAGGCATGCTCTTCTCGGGCGTCATGGTGCTGTCCATCCTGACGGCCGTTTGCTATGGTGTGGGCAGGCGCCAGCCGGGTACCTGTGATGACTTCAAGCTGGGACACCTGACCTGGGGATATCCCCAATTGGGGATACGTTGAATTTGATTAATTAATAATTACTTGTAAAAACTATATTCTATATTTATTATTGGATCTGGGGTGAATTTTAGCGGCTTCATTGAAATGGCTACTATACATGGGGAATCATCCCAAACTGGCCCAATGAATCAGGGAGGGAATCTGAAAGCACTGGCGGCTTTGCTGCGGCGATCAGCTCTTGTGGCGTCAGGCATTTCATGCTCAAGTATCGCAAGCAATTCAGGTGTGGGCATGCCGGGCAGTCTCAACCTTTAGAACTCTTTAGAAATTCGAAGGCTGTTTCCAGAGATGCCAGAACGAACCGGAATCATCCAAAATCCAGCAAACCAGTTGATTTCAGTAGATACATCATTTGACTTTGGACATGTATCCGGAGTATTTGCATGTTTTCAGTATGTTTTATACTTGTTGTTTTCAGTGTTGTTGCTTGAGACCCTCATGTTTGCATGTAATTCTCATCCTCGGCTACTGGCCAGGTTCTTCCTTTGCCACCAAAAGATTGCAGCAGGAAGCATGGCCCGTTTCCTTCATTTGCTTAGCAGGTATGTGTGTTGTTCTTTTGTGGTTCCCCTACTTTCAGTAGCTGTACACACGTGCAACTGTCACTCTTTCTGTTCGTTTGTTTTCAGTCCTCTTGATAGTAATTTGCAGTTGCGGATTTTCTGCAACTTCTGAACAGCGTTCTTTGGCCGCCTGCAATGTTGAGCTGGTGCTTCGACTGGTCCCTAAGGTTTGTTGAAGATGGAACTGCAAAAGCGTGGCTCCAGGAACACTACATTTGACGCTTGGCTGCGAAAATGGATAGCTGGGCCGCATGGCTGGAAGCTACGCGCTGCTTCTAACATTCCCCAAATACCATACGTTCCATATGTATGTATTTGTTTATGTAACTGATATGATATCTCACACAGGCTCAACCTATTTTATCCAACCTAATAATCTAACTCTGATCCGAGCTTCTCAAAAATCTTGTGAAATCTAATCTGATAATATACATACAATCTACAGTATATAGTATAATCTAATCTAGATTCTTTATATTCAGTATAGCTATCTACCTGAATGATCCTAAATCTGTGACGCAATGGCCAGGTGGCTGACTCCACCATGGATGTAAACCTTGGATACCCCGGGTCAGAATGGCACAATGGGTCGTCCTGAGGTCGACTGTGATGACCTGAACGATCTCACCAGGTGACGTGGGTTTTTTCGTGCCTGGATACCTGAAGAACTGTAGGATTCGCCAGCAAAAGCTGGTCGATTTACCTTTAAAATTGGGATCTACAGTACCGTACAGATGGGGGGTGATGGGGGTTTAACCAACACAAATAGCATAGAATAGCTATTTAACCAACAAAAATACGCATTTATCCAACAACAACAACAACAACAACAGGAATTTGATCAACATACATGATAATTTCAGCAACAAATAGGAGTTTGTTACATAGTTTTCACTACAAAAACAACTAAAAGTGGGTTTTGAACCATCAACACTGGGGAGTCAAACGCATCAAAGATTGAGATTTAACTCCAACAGTTGGGGATTTCGTGGTATGATCCCAAAGCAAAACGCTCCCAAAATTGGATGTTGAAGAATCATCCAACATATCTGACATCTTTCTAATCAGATATCATTTGTCATCCCGAGATATCCCAAATATTACCCTCCAGTAAATTAACATAGACCCTGCCAGATAGGGGTTGGAAGATTAGTTTCCATTAAAGATTGGTGATTTTCAGGGTCTATGTTTATTTACCAGAGGGTATCAGATAAATATCAGATATCATCCCAAAACGCTGCTGCTGCCGCAGGTTGTTCAGCTACGTGGGTCAGGACACCGAAACCTTCGTGATCCTGGGCTCGCCGGACATCTTAACCAGGCGGACTGCATCACTGGTTGCCACTTTACTGTGCAGTGGTAGTATGTGGTTATCATAGATCATCATCCTGATTTGATGTGTTTTCATGTTATATTTGAAACATTTCGAAACGATCTGGATTAAAGTCTGTATCATATTACAAAATATACATTAATAATTGCTATTGTTATATATAAATATATAATGATTTGTTTCAGCGCGAAATTGATTAATAATCGTCCTGGTCTTCTACAAGCTCTGCCGCATCGAATTCTTCATGGCTCGCCAAAGCCCCAAGCTTCACGCAGGAAGTGGTGCGTGGGTGAGATGTGCACAGCGCGCAGTCACGGAGTCAATACAGTTACTTGGCTGTAGGTCAAAGATCTGGTAGGATTGATTTTTCTGGGGGGGTAATTTTAAAACCACCCCTCTTGACCCACACCGAATCCAAGCTGTTGTTTCTTTTGTGTTTTTTGCATAGTAAACCTAGGAAACTCTTGCCATGGTAATCCATGGTACAAAAAAATGTCCACGATGTACAGTATCTGCCGGCTTCAGGAAAGATATGGATTGCTCATATCCCCAAATTTCTAAGCGCGGTGGGCCCATTGCCATGGCCAGCTTTTTTTTAAAACTCGGAAATGCTGAGGTCCTCCTGAGATGGCCCGAGTTCGTGATCCTTGGTGAGACAGGGCCAGGGTTTTGAAACTTTGTTTGGAAACCAGTTAGATCAAAGACAGACAAACACAAATGACATCAAATGACCAGGTTAAGACACCAACGTCCTCTGATGTTCAGTCTTGGCAGCCGCGGTTTTGGCATTTTTTGTCCTTGAAACTGCCCACAGCAATTAACCAGAATGAAGTCAGCCAGCCGAAATGGGCTGCGGGAAGTACATAGAAACCGTAGTCTCTGCAGTTTCAGCAAGCAAACACTGTTGTGACACAATTGAGACATGCAACCCCCTTTAGTGACACCTGCCCTCTGGTACAAATTCCAAAGGCATAAGTCATAAGCCTTTCTCATTGAATTTCTAAGGTGTATGCCTTTCTCATGTCACCACTCACTAATCACCCCAAAGCTGTCTCAACTTGCCATAGCTGAGGAACCCTGACTACGATTTCATTACAAAGTATGACAGCATCGTGCCAGACATTTCCGAGCTGGTGAATTACAACATCGGTCTGGCGGAGGCAAGGCCTTGCAGTCGCCACCATTGGACCCCTAAAATTGGGGCGTTCGAAGATGTCATGAGTTATAAGCCATTCACTTACTTTGACTAAGACCTACATTGAATCAGTTCCCAATTTGATGAGGGCCCATTTTACATCATTTTACTATATTTTACTTGTACTATCTTAAAATATAAGTTTGGCATATTCACCATTGAACATCAGTTAACATCATTTACCACATGATTTACATGATTTACTGGTCACCAACTTCAGTTGGATCATGTTGGATCCCAGGTGCAAGAGACCATGGCGTGGATCAACACGGTGCAGACTGTGGACGTTCCTTCCATGGTAAGTCTGGTGCCTTGGGTGAATCGCGGGGAGTTGATGGCTGGTTCCTGCTCAAGCAAGTTGTGTTGAAAAATGTCCGTAGCAAGTTGTTGAAATTTACATTGGGTATATGGTAGACTTAATGGGTGTTATAAACCAACAAACATAGCTAGGAGTCTTGAAAAATCTGAAACTGGCGAAGCTTTTTTTCGCAAGACCAGACTCAGAAATGCAGGGGATAGCAGGAGGTTGGTGACTCGAGTCTTTGAAGACAGCTTGTACCAGTCAGGATGTACGTAGAAGCTTGTTCCCCCAAAGGAAGCCATGGAGCACATCTGCTCCTCGTTGACTGGGTCCTTGCGATTTCCAAGTCGCGCTGGTGGTGCGGAGTGGCTGGGAATGCACGACATCTGCGGAAGGGCTGAGCCGTGGCTGTTTTTTGTTCAGATGGAACATGAATAAACTAAGAAGATGTCAGTCAGTCTTCAGACATGTTGAGTTCTTTCGGATGCATTTTATGGATCTTTATGGGCTCTTGTGCCAAAGCAGCAATTATTGCCAAGAGGCCAAAATAGAGACTGTTGCTACATCCCCAGTAAAACTTGTTGCAATGATCATTCAACCTTGCATTTTGCCAGGTGTACTGATGTGAGTTGGTGGAAGGTCAGTGACCTGTTTCTTTCCTCTCACGATATGACCACTAATTCGACTAAACGCGAGTGATGACTTGAGGAAGAGCAGGCACAGTAGTATAGAACACTGAGAATTACCAGCCATGTGAAGTCCATTGATACCTCATTTTCGGTAACTGCTATAATTATTATTATATCCCAGTTTTGCTGGCGGATCTCCCTTTTTTCCATCTTGAATTTTGTTTCTTATTATCCTATCACATCCCACCATGCGACTTGTAGTTACTTCACTCACATTCAGGTTGGCTATGCAAAATATCCCCCACGGTTTTGCAAAGTTCCGGGAATAAAAAAATCCAGGGCCATGTCTCCGAGGTCGCCAGACTGCATCATCGTGTCGGATTTGGACAACATGGAGGTGCTAATGGGTCGTTGTGTGGGCTGGGGCTATCACTTCAAACCAGGCTCTTGGAACAAGTTGATGAGTAAATAATTACAATAAAGTATTAATAATCTTTAGTATCATTACAAATTATATAATACATATATATAAGTTTAATTATGCTACAAACTGAATTATTCAAAAATGACCATTTGGACCCATTTGGCCTTTTGGCCCCCCAAACAACCATTGTTTGGGGTACCCAATGAATTGACCTCGAAGTGTTGCTGCCCAGGCCGCAGCGACCGCCTACGTCTTGCTGGGATTGATGGTGCCCAAATTGGTGGGGGCGGAACGGAACAACATGCCCACAGTTCTGCAGAAGGCCAGGGTATGACGATGTTTTCGGCGCTGTTTTTGAGCCTTTTTTGGTTGATGTTGAATGATGGAATCATGAAGAATCTACTGGTGGAGCTAGATGTGTTTAGCAAAAATGGCTTGGCGATGTCTGGATTGGACCCGTGTGGGGTTGGAGAATGTTGGTTTAAGAGGGATCGTATCTGTAGAAAGCTCCCAAAAAGCACAACGATAGTCTCTGTCCCAATGTCCTGGTCAATGCTTCTTGCAGACTTGGAACCTAGTTCGCAGAATGTGTGCATCCAAAAAATCCCGGATACAATCAAAACACCCTGTCTTTTTTTGGCCCAGGTACTGGTGGTGTCCCAAGGTGTCCCAGAATCCAACAAGATGTAGAAAGAAATATCACTCAGGGAAATCAGATTTTTTTTGGTTTTCTTCAATCAGAAGTGCGTCCAGGTTTTCAGTCAACATGTGCTGATGTGACGTGCTGTGCCAGGGTCGACCAGTATCAGAGACGGCCACAGCTGCTTTGGTGATTTGCAGCGATGGCTGCTTCAAGCAATTGGAATTTGCTGAGCCTTGGTAGTAGGAGCGATGGCTGTGTCAAGCAGTTTGGCACTTCAATAGACTGAAGCAGTATGGTATGGTTGAAGAAACCAATCGTTGCTTTAAGCTTCGTTTGAAATTGTTTGGTATGTCATGGTTTGCACATCCAACTGAGTTTAGACCTGAGTTCGACTTGTTGAATACTTTTTGCGAACATGTTTCCAGCGAATCAAAAACATGCCAAATTTGGATTTCTGAAGTCTGAAGATATCATAGCTCAAGCTCATCAGCTCAAGATGTCAAGCCCAAGAAGTTTGATTGATCCACAGATCCCAACATACCAAGGAATGGTTGCTCCAGGTTGCTCACTTGCCCGACTGTTGTGTCCTTCCCATTATCGCGGAAGATGGTTTTCGCTTCCCCTCCCCCTCCTACTACGAGGCCTGGGGACTGATCCACCTGAGGTGTTGCACTAGGGTTTGGATCTTTCTGCTGCTATTGCTGGGCAAACAAACAAACAACTGATGAGTTGGTTTCAAAACCTCGTGTTTTTTTAGACACTATATAGTCACTAATGAGCAAACACAGGGATATCGCCAACCAAGAGGATGTGTTTCCATGGGCGGGTTTTAATCGTGAATTCAATCTTGCCAATCATGAGTTGAAATTCTACATTCTCTCCATGCACTCACCAATCCTTGTTTATCATGAATCATTACACATTCTTGTTGAAGTTTCCATGTTCGGACTCTGGCTGTCTCACTTTCAGAAATGGAGTTGCTTGCTGGCTGTCATTGACATGTCCATTATTTTCATTTATTTTCCATGGCCTTACAATGGATGATTCATGAAGTGATTATCATGATTTTCCATGAGTTTCCATGATTTGTTATTGATTGTCCATTGATTTTTATTGATGTTCCATTGATGTTCCATTGATGTTCCATTGATGTTCCATTGATGTTCCATTGATGTTCCATGATTGTCCAGTGATTTTCCAATGATGTTTTAAAATTTTCCCGGTGATGTTCCAATGATTTCCCATGATTTCCAGTGATTTTCCAGGATTTTTCCATTGATTTCCCATGATTTCCAGTGATTTTCCAGCATTTTTCCATTGATTTCCCAAGATGTCCCATGATTTTCCATGATTTTCCAGGATTTTTCCATGAACATGATCCACTCCATGGGGATTCTTGGCTGAGCCGAGGAGGTGGAGTCCATGCCGCAGCTGGAGAGCTTGGACCTGCGGATCCATGGCGGCCGTCGCATATCAAGCAGATTCTATGGAAATCCATCCTACATACTAATACAATCCATATATATATATATATACGTAGTCTATTTGTATATTATATATACAGATGATACATATAGACACATATGTAACAGAATCATTGGAAATCTGTTCTACTATTGATTCTATGGGTGTATTAGTAATTTAAAGTAACTATGAGGATGTCATAGAACATGTTGCTTTTGCGCTGTTGCCCAATTTGGGGACGTGGGGAATCACAGATTCCTGGGAATCCCAACCTTGACCACCCATGGACTTGAACTTGTGTTTGCTGGTTGAGATGATTCCATTGGAGAAGTGGTTTCTTCTGGTTCGTGGTTTCCTGGGCTACAGTATCAGTTTCCAAAGTCAAGGAGGGGATTGTTATCCCAACTGACAGCTATTTCCTGCGGTTCTTGGATGGATTGACACGAAGCAGTGGTCCATTCTTGAATGTTCCTGCTCAGATGCTTCGACTGATATACAGACTCAAAGTGTTTTCATGTAGCTTGTAACACCACACACTGATCGGGTGGTTTCATTGTTCAATTTTCTTATTGTTGCATCCATCAAAATGGGATGATGATACGCACATGTATAATATACTGTAACATCTGTCATAAATATGTCATATGCGCATCATGTATTTACAATATCACCATATATATATAATTATAATATATATATATGATATATATATATTTATGTATATATGCATATATTATATGATATATATATATATATACGTACATTGATGTATTTCTTAGCTTTATCACCACCAAAAAGCCCCATCGAAGACCAGCTGCAGGGTCTACATCAAAGCGATCAAGGCCAGTAGCTCCAAGGGGTGCAACCTGTGGGGCCAGTTGGTTTTAATGGTATGTAGAACCCAATAGTACTACATATATAGTTGCGGTTTATATATAAAAACATATAAAAACCCAGTATATAACGTAGTTCAAGGGGCTCCTGTGTATTGTTTTTTTCTGCCCTCGGAGCAATGTAGAGAACTTCACATGCTCGACAGGTGGCCTTATGTAACTTATGTGTAGCCATGGCCATATCAAGACTGAAAAAATCCCAGGATCCTGCTTCTCAACCATTTGGATGTGATCCTTCTGAATCCAAGAACCCAAGTGGGGTCAATGCTTTATCATCAGTTTCCCAAATGTTCTTTTCAAAATGGCACCTTTACAAGGTCCTCCCATGTTAAGTCTCTTCCGTGGTCTAAAACTGCATGTTGAGGCAGTCTTCCAGGAGATTGCGGTGGTGTTTTCACCTCAGCAACTCGATGGAAACTGATTTGTCCATGTTTTTGGGGCCCATATATATATATATAGAATCAGGGCTTCCATGGGTGAGAGCTATTTGGTGTGGTTGGGTACCAAAAGCAGTTTATGCGGCCAAGAATCATCAAACTATGGAGTGAGTGAATGTAAAGAATCCCCAGATTTTGTTGACCTTCTAAGGCAACATTCTTTGATGGCCCTGGGCCAGTCCGTAGAACATTCCTCGCAATCTGCCCCTTTGGTAGGATGACAAGATGACAACAAAGGAATCAAAGAAGACCAATTGCAAGTGATTTTCCTTGCAAAATTTCGATCACCAACTGCGTACAAACACGAGAATTAACGGCTGCCCACTGAACTGTTCCCTTAGACAGCAGCTAGTTGTCACGTGCGGGGGACAGTATGACCTACTGCTTCTCAGCTCCGCTAATCCAAACCATAGGGTTGGTTTGAAGGACTTTTTGCAAAACACCGTTATTTTTCTCGGTAATCAGCTGAATTTCTACAAAGTTTCCCTAGTTGGTCCTTTCACCCCATCCCCCAAGAAATAGTAGCTTATTTGGTCACCGTCAAAATGGAAAATCCCAAAAAAATCTTCGAAACAACCAACACGCTATTTCTGTTCCGTTCATCATTCAGACACCACTCCTTGATTTTTTCGATGTCAAAAAAGGTCCAACATCCTGTGACCTGGCGAGGAACTATTCCTCCACCCAAGAAGACTTGGACCTTCGTGCCAAACAGGCAGCGACATTCTGCTGGTAAATTGTTGCTGGATTCCTTGTTTGGTATAATATGTATTAATATGTTACTGTGCTGTTTTTTAATACTGTTTTTGCATGTTTTTGCCATGATTTGTTTTGTTGGAAGATATGATTTTAGTCGAAGATCCCATTGCAGCTGAAGTTATTTGATGAAGCATCTAAGGTTGGCCCGCTGGTCCAGTCAAGTGGTTAAGTAATTGGATGGGTTCAACTTCAGGTGACATCGGCTCGTGCAGTCCGGCCGTGATTTGAAGTAGACCGGTGTCCACTCTGCACTGTGAGATGGATCGATCCAATTGACTTCAATGGATGCATGCTATCTGGACCAGTCAAGACATTTGCATCAAGATGGTCAAGATGCATCACATATCATTTTATTAAGGTATCCGTCCCCAAGGCCGCCAGAAATTCGGATATCGAATCCAACAAAACCTGAGAGAGAGAAGTTAAGGATTTCCGGCCCAGTCATGTTAGTTTACTGGATTCCAAGCTGATGCTGTTTGGATCCAGTTAGGATCGGATTTGGATCGCCAGGTGGCTTGGCGTATCAACAGCGGGTCACTTAAGTCCTTGTACCAGAAGATTAGCGGCGAGGCGCGGTGAGATCAACCTGGGAAAGGTGGAATCTGCCAAAATGTGGCTTTGTCCAGAAAGTGAGTATAATATGAAATGTACATTGTGACATGTATCTATGAACATCTATGAACCATTATGATTTCGTGTAATTACTTTAGCAAAATGTGGATATATATATATAGTAAAACTACATAAACATCAGTGTGTATATATTAACCATTATAAATCTTTGTTTTTTTTTCTGTATATAGTGTATATATAACTGTATGTTAAACATATATAGATAGTGTATGTATATATATATAACAAATGTAACTATATATATATATATTTAGATAATGTATATATATAGATAATATATATATATAACTGCGTATATAACTATATATATATATGTAACTATAAATATAGCTATATTGGAACTATACATATATATATATATATATGTATGCGACTGCATTTGTAACTTTGTGTACATATATATATAACCGTACATAAATAAATATATATATATATAAGTATATGTGTTATATAATTTATATACATATTACTGTCTATACCCCAAAATGGCAGTTCGATGGGAGATTAATGATAAACCGCCGGCTTTGAGCGTACCCCATTCTTGGATAACGCCATGCCTATGTGGCCAAGACGGCTCGGATTCAACGTGAACCCACACTGAAACCATTTGATTGTTGACTGGTTTCCCATAGAATCCCACCATCCATAATTTTTCCCATCTACTTATAGGGGAGGGGTACCATTCTAATGTGACTTTGTTGTGATTTTTTCTATTTTGAGTCCGTTGTTAGCACAATTTCTTGAAAATGCCAACCCATGGTACACTTCACCCACAGCATCATATATTTATATTTAGATGGATATTAGTCAAAACAATGTAGATTCTGTACATGTCCAGCTTTAAGCTTGTTGTACTCATGCCAATATGCATACATATATAGTGTACATCATTGCACATCTATATCGACACTATTCTTTTCCATCCTAACTGGGATCATAATCAACTTTTTGATTGATATGTTCGGCATGGGTTGAAAGCACTAACCAGTGCCTCCAGTAAATCTAACGCTTGGAAGCTTCATTCTTCATCATAAAGTCGGCTAATACCGTGAACAAGTGATTTTTTTTGTTCATTGGCCGTCAATGTGTCAAGACCAGAGGGCATTTTTTGTGTATACAACATTCACATACAAGCAAAAACGATCAAGTTTGTTTGAAAACAGGGTACCCTCAAATCCCATGGTTCTTTAATCATCATTTTTCACATCTTGTCACCATATTGTCACCATGACATGGCCATGTTTATGGGTACACGAGCTCGACCCAGGAGGATTCCCCAAGGGAGATCATGGAAATCATAGAGGCTGTCACTGAAAAATGGGCGACCTGGTGGCTAACCTTCGGAGTGACAAGTGATATGTATATATAAAAATAATATATGATATATGATATATGATATAATATATATATATATATGATATATAATATATAATATATAACACGTAATATATAATATATATGATATATAATGTAATATAATATGTATATATATATATGCATTATGAAATGAATTTAGGTACATTAAATATATTTGTGATTGGGTCAAGGCTGCAGGTTCCCGAGAAGTTGATTTCCAGACTCAGGACTTCAAGGTCCAAGAGAGGAGTTGAAGGAGTCCAGATTTTATGACCTCCACAGAAGATGTTTGGCAGCTGGTACTTATTGTCACCATTTGTAGCTGGGCCCCAGTGATGGCAGGCTTATTTGCCTATGCTAAGAATCCAATGCAAGGGTGGGATGAGCATATCCTGGACACCCAGAGTTTCGACCATAGAGCACTCAAAAAGATGTGATCCACTTGTGCTGTTGTTTGGCCAGGAAGAGACCTCACTGTCGATCACAGACGAAAACGAGGACAGCTTGCAGTTTAGCCATTTTGATGAATTTTGGACCAGTTAAACAAACAGTTTGAGTGCAGCCTTTTTTTGAAACCAACAACAACAAATCTTCCGCTTTTGGGCACAGGGTCCGTGTGCCGACAGGACGGTATCTTCAACGAAAAACTTCAGTCCGCATACCTTTAACGTGCAACGCGGCTGTTCCAATTGGAGCAGCCAATGGAACAAGCCTAGGAGGTAGGTACGTGGCAAAGATCCTTAAAGAGGATTCAATTCTTTGCCATTTGGTCTATTCTCAATCCTTTAGGGATATTTATTGCAGGAAGGTGGCTATCAGTGTGAAACCACACCTTGATTTCTTGGACCACCAGCACTTGGGTTCAGCAGTGCTGTGTCAACTTGACCCATTTTGGATGGACTCCTCATTGGAAATCACTCAAATATGCTCGAACCCATATTACTCTGCAAAATTCTCTGAGAGAATTTATCTTCCATTGATTATCCCAAATATTTTTTTAAATTAATTATCGATAGATAATAAAAAATACATTTATTTTAATCTAATCTAATCAAATCTTTATTTTTAAATTTATTAGATACATAATAAATTTTGTAAAGAATTTTAATTGCCAAGATTGGTTGTGTTATATTGGGAAATAATTCGAATATTTTTGGGGTTCGCAATAAATATATATATAATACGAAAATTGGAAATTATAAATTATGTATTATATCATATTATAATAAATTTACAAATTATACATAAATTATAAAAATTATATTAACCCCTTATTTCCTAGAGATTTATTGAGGATATGGAAGAATTTCGGTTTGATAAAATAATCTAATTTAATTTATTATTTGGAATTTTATTAATTTTAAATATTTTTTATAATAAATAATTTAATTATATATAATT